CAGCACAGCTAGCATGTAGCATTTTACAGAAAATGTTTTATTTTTGTCTTTTTTGTCCCCGGATCTTCATAGGGATAAAACTTATAACCTTGCTTTTATGTTTATCTTTGACAAACTTTTCCACAAAGTCAGATTCTGAACAGATCATTTTCCAGAATGTAAAAGTATTTTAACTGCAGAATATGTTTCACTGTAAACCATCAGTTAGAATGTTAGAACAAATACTTTTCATTTACAGGTGGATGCATTTGAAATTAGGCTTCCTCTCATTTTTTCATCTTGACGAGTAGAATGGGATTTAATGGCATTAAAATAAAATCACTGAGTGTGAATCAAACATCATGAAACTTCTGGATGTTTCTTGAGGTTTCATGTAAAAGTAAAATCAAATGTAAGCAAGAAACAAAAACACCAGTTTATTTAATATCAGAACTTTCTGTACATCTGCTGACCTGGATTATTCAGAAACACTCTCCTCCAATTCCTCCTGGTTCTGATGATGCAGCTGTAGATCAGACCTGGATCTTCATCTGGAACTGTCAGAGAGCTGCTGATGTCATAAAGCTTCTCCTCAGTCTGATGGACTGTGGTTCTGTTCTGCAGAGTCATGTTGGATGGAGGGCTAGTGGACCAGGTGAGTTCAGGTTGAGGGTAGATCCCCTCTGAGCTGCAGGTGATCCCGTTTCCATGCTGATGGATTCTGACTGGAGAGACTGGAGCTGCAAAAAAAAAGACAAATTTCACATAGGAAACATCCCACAACAACAAAAAATAAAAAGTATCAAAAGCTTATTTGAATTCAATGATTTAAATGAATGTGTCCTACCTTCTACTGTAAGGTCAACAGAATGTCTATAATAGATGCCAGTTGTAAAAACTTTACACCAATATGTTCCCTCATCATCAACCTTCACTCCTCTCAGAAGCAGATCGCCGTTTCCTCTGGAGATCTGATCCTCAGACAGTGATGCTCTGGATCTGAAGCTCTCAGAGTATCTGGAGCCACTCTGGTTATACGTTACAATCTGAGATTTTGGTATTTCACGTTCCCATGTCATATCGGTAACCCGGTTCCTGAACCGACATGGTAAAATGCAGCTTTCATTGAGGAAACAGGAAACTTTGGTACGAGACTCTGCAATAAGAAAACCAGGTGAAAGTTCAGTTGAATGGTGTTGAGGAGGAAACCCAGATCCTCTGAAGGATCATAGAAAAACCTGCCTGGAATAGGTTCTCAGCAAATCGTCTCCATGATCCAGATGATGTTCACTGAACCAAAAGTTCTGGTTCTGATAGGAAAATGAGGATCACCGACTGGGCAGGATCGAGCGCTGCTGAGAGGACCATCCATCCATCCATCCATCCATCCATCCATCCATCCATCCATCCATCCATCCATCCATCCATCCATCCATCCATCCATCCATCCATCCTCCCTCCCTCCCTCCCTCCCTCCCTCCATCCAACACCCTTGTCCCTAGTGGGGTCAGGAGGTGCTGGTGCCTCTCCAGCTAACGTTCCGGTTCAAAGGCGGGGTCAAGGCGGGGTCATGGCGGGGTCACCCTGGACAGGTCGCCAGTCTGTCGCAGGCCGAGAGGACGGTTCCCCCTTTTTTAGCAAAGACTCTGTTTCCATCTCTTCCAAAGACTTTTGCTGCATTTACATTTGCCCACTACATTTTTACTGCTAGTTTAACTAGGTGGTTGCTGCTGTTTTCAATATTTGCCCACTTATTAGCCACAATCGCTAATGTAAAACGAGTCATTTGAGAAAAAGAAACTAGTTTGTTTACATTTTGCTGAAAAGTAGATTGTAAAAATACTTTATAATCTTCCCAACAATAACAGAAACATTTTCTTGACATTTCAACAATGACACTTATGACTGAGCAGCTTTCTGTTTGCTCCTGCTGGTTTTTTGATCATTTATCTGTAGTGATGAGATCCAAGCCTTGGAGTTTGTCATGGCCACAGCTGGTGACCCGACACACAAATACTTTTTCACTGGGTGTTAATTTGTATATCCCACCCACTGCAGCACAAATATGTAGGTTTTGTTAATATTTTCATTTAACATTAATCTGTGTTTGTAATCTTATTGTATCTTGCAAACGTTTAAGCATGGTGGCATAAAGGTCCATAGCACTAGAGGATGGTGAGCTGAAATGACGAGCCACTTCCCACAGATCTGTTTCCTGCAGATGCCCAACTGACTAATGGAAGAATTAGCTACAGAAGTAACCAAGTGAAAGGAAACAGATAGGTAGATAGGATAGTGAAAGGTAAATGGATAAAGGGATAAATAAAAATAGAGAAATGAAAAAGAGAAATTGAGGAATTGATAATATGAAAAAATAAATAAATGAATAATTGGGTTAATGAAAAAGCTAAATTAAAAAATGGTTAAATGAAAAATAGATAAATGAAAAATGGGTAAATCAAAAATAGATAAATAAAAATGGGAAATTGAAAAATTGATAATATGAAAAATAAAATAATTGGTTTAATGAAAAGCTAAATTATTTAACTTTTTTTTATTTATTTCACTCATTTTCTTCATTTTTTAAATTTATTTCACCCATTTATTTATTTATTTATTTAATTTTGGCTGAAATGGCTCTCCATACAAATCGGCGAGCATATTACTTTATTCAGTACTCTGCAGAGTTAAATGAACTTTTGTTGGTTATTACAGGACACACTTCCTGCTAAAGAGCCCCCTGGTGGTTGAAGAAAAATCCACACATAAACCGGAAAATACAATATATGAGAAAAAATCTTAATGCTCTCTGGTATTGTTCAGGGGGCTGGACCAAATATGGAGGCAGGCAGGATCTGGCCCGCGGGCCGTAGTTTGGGGACCCCTGCTGTATACCATTGGTTGTAATGTTAGGAAAAATACTTTAATTTTACTTGTATATTACAAGTGACTTTTAAACGAGGCTTCCTCTCATATTTTAATCTTGATGGGTTAAATGGGAGTTAGAAGAATGGCATTAAAATAAAATCACTCTAAATTTGATCAACAGAATGAAACAGAAGTATCAGTTAATTAAATGAAATCAGAACTTTTTGTACATCTGCTGACCTGCTCTAGTTAAAGTTGCTCCCCACCAGATCCTCTTGGTTCTGATACTGCAGCTGTAGATCCGATCTGGACCGTCTGGAACCGTCAGAGAGCTGCTGATGTCATAAAGCTTCTCCTCAGTCTGATGGACTGTGGTTCTGCTCTGCAGAGTCGTGTTGGATGGAGGCTCAGTGGACCAGGTGAGTTCAGGCTCAGGGTAGATCCCCTCTGAGCTGCAGGTGATCCTGTTTCCATCCTGATGGATTCTGACTGACGAGACTGGAGCTGTAAACAATATGAGAAAATGAAGAATTGTTAGCAGAAGAAATATTCTACAACCACAAAGTAAAAACTCTCAAAATATGATTTGAATAAAATGTTTTCAAATGAAGGTGTCCTACCTTCTACTGTAAGGTAAACAAAATTATAATACTTCAAGCCTTATAACGTTCCAGTACACAAATATGTTCCGTCATCATCAACCTTCACTCCTCTCAGCAGCAGTGAGAAATTTCCTCTGGAGATCTGATCCTCAAACAGTGACGCTCTGGATCTGAAGCTCTCAGAGTATCTGGAGCCACGATGGTCATGTGATACAATCACAACTGATAGTTTAAATAGTTTCCATTCAATGTTGGTCATCCTGTTCCTGAACCGACATGGTATAATGCAGTTCTCATTGAGGACACAGGAAACGTCCGTTCCAAAGACTGCAATAAGAAATGAAATCAGTTGAAAGTTCAGTTGAATGGTGTTGAGGAGGAAACCCAGATCCTCTGAAGGATCATAGAAAAACCTGCCTGGAAACAAGTTCTCAGCAAATAGTCTCCATGATCCAGATGATGTTCACTGAACCAAAAGTTCTGGTCCTGATAGGAAAACAGGAAGGAATCGCTCTGATGTGGAAGGAGAATCACTAAAAAGAATCTAGTTTATTTATGTTTCTTGTTTGTAGCATTTCCAATGATTAATGAAAACATAATTATTGACATTCCAGCAGTAAAACTCTTATAATTATGACTGATCAGCTTCCTGTTTGCTCCTGCTGGTATTTTGATTATTTATCTTTATGAAATCCAAACCTTGGAGACTCTTTGCCATCACCCTAATCTTTATCTTCATTTCTCACCTTCAAGTCTGGACTATTGCTGCTCTGCTTTAAAATATAAATATTACGGTGAGATAGAAAAACCTTGTTTGTTTAAATAAAATATTAGTTTTAACCTCAATCTCCTATTAGTAATTTTGGATTATCTGTAAAAGCATCAAATAAAAAAGTCAAAATTTCATGAACAATGCAAAAGAAAAAAAAAAGAAAAATAATATCTTTACCAACATAGATGTGTTTTAGTTTTCTAAATCTTCTCACAAACAAAATCTGAATTTTATTATTCGTGAGACATTTTGTTGAGTAAATTATCACAAAATATGAGACCAGAGATCACAGGGTTATTACTCTAACTTTTAATCATGTTTCAAAATCTCTTAATATTTTCACTTAATTTCCTGTTTCATTCTCACTTTGAAAGCAGTAATCTACCGTTAACATCTGAAAATAATAAAATAAAAGCAGCAATAATTGTTTTTTACTCACCTTCTTCATCAGCATCAACCCACACAAAAGGTAAAAGTACTAAAAACCAGAAGCTTGTGATTCTGATCATTTTCCTCCTAATTATCACCTATTTACTGCAAAACTGAGAAGAAACAAATTATTAACTGTTAAAACGCTCAACGACAACTAGATCCTGCTCCTCAGTTTTATTAGGAATTTAAATTATTCCTAGAAAATGTTGTTAATCCAGAATAACTCTGGTGAAGTGTAGCTTCATTTATCTAAGAGTGTCTTCTGGTTGTAAGGAGGAAGTTTGTTCTGCTAAATGTTCTGATCAAATTTATGATAAAACCACCGGAGGAGGAAGAAATAGTTTTAGATTAGTTAGAGATGATGATGAGTTTTCAGATGTCAGATTATTTCAGTAAATATTAATAAGTAATCTGCATTATTTATCCTTCTGCATTGACTGAATCCACAGTTATATAGATAATCATTCTCAGTTCATCTACAAATTAAGAGTTAATACTTTTTTGCAACTTTTTTTTCTTTTTCGCTTTTGAAAATAAAACCTCAGGAACATCA